TCCCCAGATAGAGGCTCTTGTAGTGGTAAACCTGCTGGCACCCAGGCTCTAGCTGGTGTCCTAAAATGGATGCAGCCACAAGCAATCTGGAGTCTCCCCCCACAGCAGTCCTCTACACAGTGGTAGCAGTAGTAGTGGTGGTGATTGTTGGCAGCAGGAAGCAGGTCAGCAACAGCGGTGGCAGTAGCGTTGCAGGTGGCAGCTGACTGGACAAGAGACCTCCATTCATCAGCGGCAGTGAATTCAGAGGTAGCCACAGAGGTAGCCCTGGCCCTGCTCAGAGAAAAGACCTCTGGGCATGGCAGCGGAATCTGTGTCAGCGGTGCCATTATTTGTATTCTTGATGACTGCCATTCTTACCCATGGGAGATGAAATCTCAGTGTAGTTTTGATTTGCATTTCCCTAATGCTAATGATGTTGAATATTTTTTCATATATTTGATGGCCATTTGTATCTCTTCTTTTGTGAAATATCTGTTTAATTCACTTGTCCATTTATTAATTGGGTTATCTGTAAGTTTTGGTATAAAGTTTTTTGAGTTCTTTATGTATTCTAGATATTAATCCTCTGACAAAAGTGTAGCTAGCAAATATTTTCTCCCACATTGTAGATACTCTCTTCATATTCCTAATCATTTCCTTTGCTGTGCAGAAGCTTTCTAAAAAATATTTTTTTAGTTGTTGATAGACAACTGAGAATTGAACCCAGTGCCTCACATGTGCTAGGCAATCACTCTACTGCTGAGCAACAACTCTAGCCCTGTGCATAAGCTTTTTAATTTGATGCCAACCCATTTATTAACTCTTGGTATGATTACATGAGCGTGAGGGGTCACATTAACAAAGTTATTGCCTATGCCTGTATGCTGGAGTGTTGACACTATGTCTTCTTCTAAGAGTTGCATAGTTTCTGATCTAATTCTTAAATCTTTGATTGATTTTGATTTGATTTTTTATGCAGAGTAAGAGACAAGAGCCCAGTCTTATTCTTCTACACATAGATAACCAGTTTTCCCAGCACCATTTGTTTAAAAAGGCTATCTTTTCTCCAATATGTATTTTTGGCACTTTTTTTATTGGCTGTTCAAAACAATACATAGCTCTTGACATATCATATTTCATACTTTAGATTCAAGTGGGTTATGAACTCCCATTTTTACCCCATATACAGATTGCAAGCACTTTTGTCAAGGATCAGATGACCGTAGATATGTGAGTTTGTCTCTGTGTCATCTATTCTGTACCATTGGTCTATGTGTCTGTTTTTATGCCACTACCATGCCGCTTTTGTTACTATAGCTGTCTGGTATAATTTGAAATCAGGTATTGGGATACCTCTAGCATTTTCTTTTTGACTTGGAATTACTTTTCCATGTTAACATCAGATTATGTAAGATATGTCCATTGTGAAACAGTCCATTATGTATATAGATTAATGGCTATGACATGACTGAGCTTTTCAATCTATATTTCGAAACAAACTGTTGAAACTGTTGCCTTTGCAAAGGCTTTTGGGAAGAATGTCTAACTAGTAGTCATGAGGCTAGGATCAAAATTATTATATACTCTATGATACTATCTAGTTTAAACTAACAAAGAAATCCTTTCTCTAAAATATAGGTATTTTTCATACCTATAGTTGAAAAAAAACCAACGATGCTTAAAAGCACTGCTTTTTTTCTTTCTTTTTTCTTTCAGTGAACAGGATTAAGTATAATATTTTCTCTTTGTGCTTTTTGTTGATTCTTTGTTTTCTCACATAAAAGAGAAAAAAGTTAGTGGTCAAAAGAAAATTTCTTTTTTCCCTCGTAATTAATCCTAATTCAAGAAATATAATGAATCCTCTGACACAAAAAATAAGCTATTTTACTCGTAAATACATATTTGAAAGTTTAAAAAACTGCTTCAAGTAGTACATGAGACAAGATTTTCTACCAAATTTTCATGATCCTACTTGGCCTGCATTGATCATGATAGACAATACCCTAATGTACAGTCATGACAAAAGAATGCTTAATAATAAGATAACTTAACAAGGAGGCAGCAACACCCAAAAGAATGTTCACTGGGATGGTACAAAGAGCCTTCTTTCAAAGGGTCTTCAAAATATGTGCATCCTGAGTTATACCCTAATTCCTAAAAGACTACAACAAGTACTTTATGGTTATACTGCTGCAAGCCAGCTGGCTAAAAAGTGTAACAGAACTAGAGCTCTCTCTCACACACTACCTTTCCTCAGCTCAAGCCTGTGAGATGATGTCAGAATTCCATTTGCACAATCTTTTTTTTTTTTTCTCATGTATGGATTAAAAGCTATTAAAAGCTATTCAAGAGTAAAATATTTCATTTCACATTTGGTTAACCATAGTTTTCAACACCAAAAACATCGTGTTGCTTTTTAAATAAACTTGCAATATAACCACCATAGCCAAGGAACATACTCGGAAAATACTCAAGGAACTATTTCTTCCAGTTCTTTCTTTAAAAAAAAAAATAAAATTGGTACATTTTTTCTGTTTTGAAAGGGGTCTCATTTCAATTTTTCCAATTTATATATTTGGATAAAACCATAAGTTGGCTCTTCAAACATACAATTTTTCTCTTATACTCTTGCCAAAAAAAGTTACAATAAAAGGAGTCTTGGGGTCAATATCATGATATTTAAGTATTCAATTTTATGCAATTAAATTGAAAATAATTATTAACAATTGAATATATGTGTCCACAAATATCTGTACTTATAATAAAATTTAATTAAGAATAAAATATTCCAATGCATTTGGACTAGCTAAATGCTATTGTATAATGTTTGTTCATTCCAAACACAAGTTAGAGTTCAGAAAAACATATAACATTGTTTTGTTTGGTTATAGTACTTTGTAAATGGTTTTATTTTACCATTCATCAAACCTCTTTTGTTGAGTTATTCAAACTAACTTTTGCCAAGAACACTAAGAATTTGGTGATAGTGCTTCTTTTAGAAGAAAAACAACCCCTTTCCTCAGAAAATTGAAAGTGTTTATCTTGGCACTTAAACCTTGCATTGAGCCTTCTGGAAAGTATTTTAAACTGTTGTTTTTAACCCAGACTTTATGACTGAAACAGGAAAAGGTTCTGTAGCTCTGCACCAAAACACATATTTATAGGGTTGATTTTCTTTCTACACCAAAAATACGAGGTTGATGGCAGCAGCTTTCAAAATGTAATTTCCTAGAACCATGCTACAAATTGGTCATTTATCAGTGAATTCAACACATGATTTGTTTTTAAACCTCAAAACCATCTTATGACAAAGAAATGCCAAACATTAAAGCATATATGTTGTTTTTCAGTGTCACTATTTCATTTAAATGCCTGTTCTGGTATGTATTTTGACAAAAAGAAAATTTATTTGATGTTGTTCTTTCCTCCTGTGCATGTCAACAAGAGTCAAATTTCTAACTTTGCAATACTTATAATTTCATTTTTCCCAGCAGGTATGCTATATCTTCAGACTATACAAATAAACATATAAAAATAAACTATGTGAACTTTCTATAACATTTCCCTATTAATACATGTGAATACAATCATAAATTGTTTGTAAATTGATGGAATAAAACAGTCATTGTTCCTAAACCTCCCAACCTACTCATAAGTTAAAAATATAAGAAAGGGACCATAGTCTGCATATGGTACAATAGTCCAATGTAACAGTATAGCATATATGAAGATACAGTAAAAATAATAAACAGATTAGAACTTTTCCAGCTAGAGGTGGGAGAGCACCTGCCTAGCCTCCACAAGGCCCTGCATTCACCGCAGCACTAAGGGGAAAAAAATTCAGAGACAACCAGATAGCTCCAATAATTTTTTCAGTTACTAGTAACTGATATAAAATACTATGTATCCCATTACCAATCCTTTGCAAGTCAAATCCTCCCAACTTTGAATGTTTATGCCTTTTCCTCTAACACACTGGCTGTCTCTTTACCAAAATAAAAACAACATCATCATCATTTTTGTACTTACATATAACATTTTCAAAATCAAAGTAATTTTGAATTATGTCATCGGGATTCATCAAATATATATTAAGATGTTCTGGTAAGAAACCAGTGGTTGAAAAATGTTGGCAGGCTCAATTATTTCATTATTTTTAAAGAAAAGATAAATATATCTACCAAATATATGATTAAAATCCACAACTGCCTTTGTCAATTAAGTATAAATTATAAACTTAAAAGCCTGGGGATTTTTACTGTGGTTGAACACTGCATAGATCCAAGAAAATCAAAAAAGATTTATTTAAATAAGGGAGAGATAAATGGGAATTAACTGGTATCACTGAAGATGAAGGTTGTGATTAAGGAGTAGACTCACTCTAATCAAAAATTATATTTCATATTGCTATGGTTGTACAAAGATGACAGATAGTCTTTTTATTAGCATTCATAACTTGAAACACTCTGACACTCCTCCCACAGTCCTAAGATTTCTAGTCCTCAGAGTTCCAATTAAAGTACAACTTTAAACTTAGAGACAAATTTAATATTTATAGAGTATGATTAATGTGTTGAGGTACCTTCGCATAAGGCTTAGCTAGAACCTTATTGCCACTTTTTTCCCCATTTAAATTTAAAATATTGATTGCTAGAACCCTACTGTCACTTTTTTCTCATTTAAATATAAAACATTGATTGTTTTTATAAGGAAAGTGAAAAATATCTAAAAGCAAACAAAAATTCATTTATTGGGATTTGAGTACTAATTAATTGACATATTCTATTTTCTAAGATGAGCCTACATGGAGAATGGGAGGAAAAACAAAATCTTTCTTCCCCTGCTTGTCTTTTATCTAGTCAAAACGGAGTAAGTATTTATCCATTACCAACCCTGGGAAACAAGGTCACTTGTGGGGGCCAATTTTTTAGGGACTATTTTGAGTTTCATGGTTGACAAAAACATTACAAAGGCATACTATTTTTGGTATTAAAATAAATAGATATAACACAACATACCTGAAAAAGAACATGTACATGGCTGCTGTTATGCAGAACAAAAGGACCTACAATAAGGAAAAAATAGATTAGTTGCAAAAGAACATTGACATCACCATTTGTGTGATTTAGAAAAAGAAAATATCCACTATTAAAATTTGTGCCTGAAACAATAAAATGATATATAAAACTAGTCATGCATATGTTATACTCTCAATCTTTCAAATAAACTATATTAAGGCAATAATAAACTAATTATATAGATAATTATAAATATACACATTATGTACAATGTTATATGAGTATAACATATGTTATACTCTCAATCTTTCAAATAAACTATATTAAGGCAATAATAAACTAATTATATAGATAATTATAAATATACACATTATGTACAATTGTCTCTCCATACCCATAAGGGATTAGTTCTAAGCACAGCCCACCCACCACTAACTTTACCCCCACAAGGACCAAAATTTGTGAATGCTATGTATTGGCATATAATCTACACATATCCTGTGCATACTTTAAATCATCTCTACATTACGTATCACAATTAATACAACAATAGAAGTTAGGCTTTACTGTTTAAACAATAAGGAACGAAAAATGTCTATTCATCTTTGTTACAGATGCAGGGTTTTTTTCTAAATATTTTCGATCAGTGGTTGCTTGAATCCACAGATACAAAACTCAACAATAGAAAAGGTAGACTGTGTATGTATGTGCATATGTATGTATGTATGTATGGTTCACACACTAATATAAACACACACACACATTATATTAACTGCATAGAAGTATTAACAGGGTTCCAAAAATGAATGGGCATTTTTTTTAACTTGTCTATTAAAATACTTGAAGAAGCAATTAACTTCAAAACTAGGATAATGGCTTTTATACATTCAAGTCAATGTATGTGAGAAAGCCTATTAACTTCTATATCAAGACAATCAAAAGTAAAATACAGTTCAGCAGGGCTGGGAATGTGGCTCAGGCAGTAGCACGCTTGTCTGGCATGCCTGTGGCCAGGGTTCGATCCTCAGCACCACATACCAACAAAGATGTTGTGTCTGCAGAGAACTAAGAAATAAATATTTTTTAAAAAATTTTCTCTCTCTCTCTCTCTCTCTCTCTCTCTCTCTCTCTCTTTAAAAAAAATACAGTTCATCAGACAGCTAATTCTTATTAATAAGAAAACTTGACAGTAGGGGATAGGAAAGGTAGCAGAATATAACAGTCATTAATATGGTATTATGTAAAAATGTGGATGTGTAACCAATGTGATTCTGCAACTTGTATTTGGGGTAAAAAATGGGTGTTCATAACCCACTTGAATCAAATGTATGGAAGATGATATGTCATGAGCTTTGTAATGTTTTGAACAACCAATAAAAAAAAAAAGAAAAAAAATACAATCATCCTTGTAGTGTGCTGTTTTTAAGTCCTTTCGGTATAGAACAAGGAGTGGGATAGCTGGGTCAAATGGTGACTCCATTCCCAGTTTTTCCAAAGATTCTCCATACTGCTCTTCAGATTGGCTGCACCAATTTGGAGTACCACCAGCAATGTAAGAGTGTGCCTTTTCCCCCACATCCTTGCCAACACTTACTATTGTTTGTATTCTTAATATCTTCCATTCAGATTGGAGTGTGATGAAATCTTAGTTTTGATTTGCATTTCCCTAATTGCTAGAGATGTTGAACATTTTTTCATATATTTGTTGACTGATTGTAGATCTTCTGAGAAGTGCCTGTTCAATACTTGGCCCATTTATTAATTGGGTTATTTGGTTTTTTGGTGTTAAAATTTTTGAGTTCTTTATATATACTAGAGATTAATGCTCTATCTGATGTGCATGTGGTAAAAATTTGTTCCCAATTAGTAGGCTCTCTGTTCACCTCTCTGATTCTTTTGCTGAGAAGAAGCTTTTTAGCTTGAATCCATCCCATTTATTGATTCTTGATATTAATTCTTACACTATAGAAGTCTTACTAAGCAAGTTTAGACCTAATCTGACATGATGGAGATTTGGGTCTACATTTTTTTTTCCTAATAGATGCAGTGTCTCTAGTTTAATTCCTAGATCCTTGTCCACTTTGAGTTGAGTTTTGTGCATGGTGAGAGACAGGCATTTAATTTCATTTTGTTGCATATGGATTTCCAGTTTTCCGAGCACCATTTGTTAAAGAGGCTATATTTTTCCCATTGTACGTTTTTGGCACCTTTGTCAAATATAAAATAACTGTAATTATGTGGGTTAGTCTCTGTGTCCTCTATTCTGTACCACTGGTCTATAAGTTTTGTTGTCAAAATCATGCTCTTTTTGTTACTATTGCTCTGTAGTATAGTTTAAGGTCTGGTATAGTGATGCCACCTGCTTCACTCTTCTTGCTAAGGATTGTTTTAGCTATTCTGGGTCTCTTATTTTTCCAGATGAATTTCATGACTGACTGCTTTTTCTATTTCTATGAGGAATGTCATTAGGATTTTGATTGGAATTGCATTACATCTGTATAGTGGTTTTGGTATTATGATCATTTTGACAATATTAATTCTGCCTATCCAAGAACAAGGTAGATCTTTCCATCTTCTAAGGTCTTCTTTAATTTCCTGCTTTAGCATTCTGTAGTTTTCATTGTAGAAGACTTTAACCTCTTTCATTAAGTTGATTCCCAAGTATTTTATTTATTTATTTATTTTGATGCTATTGTAAATGGCATAGTTTTCCTTGTTTCCCTTTCAGAGGATTTGTCACTGATATACAGAAATGCCTTTGATTTATGGGTGTTGATTTTGCATCCTGCTACTTTGCTGAATTCTTTTACTAGTTCTAGAAGTTTTCTGGTGAAATTTTTTGGGTCTTCTAGGTATAGAATCCTACCATCGGCAAATAGTGCTATTTTGCTATCCTATGTTAAAATAGTGCTATTTTATAGCATTCTCTCATTATTTGTCTGACAGCAATCCTAGATCTCTTTTATTTAGCATTAATTTTCTTTTATTTTTAACTGATTAGGATTATTAAATGTGTATATTGCTTACAAGCAGCATATAGTTGTCTCTTCCTTTTTCTTATCCTGAAAATCTCTGCCTCTCAATTGGGATATTTAGACTACTTTTATTTAATGCAGTTAGTGGAATGTTTAGATTTAAATCTATCACCTTATTATTAATTTTTCTATTTATCTCACTTTTGTTTCTTTTTCACTCCATTTTTTTTACTCCATTTTGGATTAACTGAATTTGTCTAATGATTCCATTTTCCCTTCTTTGTTGGGATAGTTTAATGTCTGTTTTAACATTTATAGCACACATCTATAAATTGCTATGGTCTACAGTCAAATGACAACTGTGCCACTTACCACAGTATAAATATCTTATAAAAGTGTATTTTCATTTCTCCTGACAATTGTGCTATTGGTGCCATCCATTGTCTGTGTGTGTGTGTGTGTGTGTGTGTGTGTGTGTGTGTGTGTGTTTTGGGGGTAAGGGTATAGTCAGTAAGTTTACTACTACATTTTACTCACTTTTCATTGAAAATATATGGCTGAAATTCTTTTCCACTTAATTGTGAAAGATACCTTTGCTAAGTATAAAATTCTAGGTGGATGTATTTCTTTTTTCAGTAGTTTAGAGATTTCACTCTAATATATCTTCAGAATTTGATTATTATTGTTGTGCCTTGAGGTAACCCTTGTCATGTTTATTGTACGAAGATTCCACTTAGCTTCTTGGAACTGTGAGTTTACAACTTTCATTCAATTTAAAAACTTTTAGCTGAGAATTCATCTAATGTTTTGATCCTCCTTACTCTTTCAGAAACTTCAAGTCACCTGAAATTTTCCACAACTCACAATTAATAATCATTATTCTATTTTTTAAAAAAAAAACTTTATTTTCTACATTTCATTCTGCACCATTTCTATTGAAACATCTTCACTAAAACTTTCTTATGCAATGTGTATCTACCATTAATGCTCTTCAGTAAACTTTGCATCTCATACATTGTAATTTTATTCTTCTAGTCTAATTTGGGGTTTTATTTTATCTTCTGTGTCTCTATTTAACTTTTGGACACTACAGGATTTAGTTTTAATAACTCTTTTTAATGTCCTTGCCTGTAAATCTAACACCTTTGTCAGTTCTAGTTTGACATTAATTGACAGATCTATCTCATTATGAGTTATTTGATGTCTTAAATGGTAATATTTTATTTGATGTTAGGCATTCTGAATTTTACCTTGATGGGAAATGGATATTTCGGTGTTCCCATAAATCTTCTTAAGCTTTATTCTGGGACACAATTAAATTACTTGGAAACAGCTTAATTCTTTTAAGGAATTGCTTTTAAGATATTCAGGAGGGACTGTAGTAATGCTCAATCTAGGAGCACTACTAAGTATTACCTGTTACTGAGATTAAAAACTTACCCAATGCCACATGATTCTTTGCAATTTTCCAGTACGGTGGGTTCATAGAAACAGAGAGTAGTCCTACCCCTATTTAAGTGCCAGTCATTCCATTAAGAGCCTATAATCCTTTAGGTTGGTTTTTGACTTATCCTGGGAGTAGTTTCCTCATACACATTCTAATCTGTAATAAGCTGAGTACTTTCCTCTCTATTCCTCTATTCTGTGAACTCTTTCCAGCATGGCCTGCCCACACGTTTCTCAACTGAGAAAGTCTTCTGGACTTTGTGCAAGTGATTCCTTTTTGATTCATGCCTAAAAATTCTCTCAAGGATCAAATCCAGTGCCTCACACATGCTAGGCAAGTAAACCAGAATAATAATAGGCTCATTTCATTAATTTTCATGTCTCAGGGAATCCCTGGCCTTCAGTGCTCAATGTCTAGGTTCTTACAAACCATAGTTTCATGTATTTTGTCCTTTTTTTTTTTAACTACTCAGATGCTTAAATTGTGAGAGTAAATTCAATTGCTGTTAGGAAATCTTGTCCAGAAGCAGTTATTTAAGTTTAAATTAAATATCAAAATTGAGTTCCTCATTCACACTATCCATATATCAACGGACATACGTGGTTATCATAGAACAGGTATAGAT